AGAAGCCTACATGCAGATTCCTCCAGACTTTGCCTGCATCTTCTCCCTTATGATCCCAGTGTGCACCCATACTCATCACTGCCATAAATCTTAGCCATGAGTACAACTGCATACTGAGTCCTGTGAATCCTAGCAAATCTCCAAATGTGGGGGGTCTTGGAGGCCCTCAGCACACAAACAGTGATGTGCTATGAGGAAAGTATACAGCTGACCTGGGAACAGCAGGAGCCCAGCTGGTATGGGGGCTCCAGAAAGACCTTCAGTGGGTGTTCTATTTCCCTGAGACCTGACAGAGCTACGTTGGTGAAGAGTAGGAGAATGTATGCCAGACAGAGGAAGAACAGGACCGAGGATGTGACGGGTGGGTGGCTCACTGGAGAGACTGAACAATGTCCAATGTGGCTGCAGCCCTGCAAGCCAGGAGATCCCACAATGTCAGAGCTGCAGACAGAGGCTGCTCAGCAGGGCCTCGGGTCTGAGTGTTGGGCTTTGGGTTGGGCCTGTTGACAAGCTGTTGAAGGATATTAGCAGGTGAGAAACAGGATCAAGTCTCTTCAAGCCAAAGATCATTCTGGCTGCCAGGTGGAGAAGGGATTATGAAAGTAAGAGGTGGAAGCAGGGAGAGCAGCGGGAGGCGATTCATGGTCCAGGTGAGACATGAGTACTGGCTGGCTGATGGCCAGGGATAAATGAGGGAGGTTTAGGGTCATTTTAGGAGAAAAGGTCCCAGAGTGGTGCCACACGATCTCCCTAACACCAGTGCTCAGCCCTTCCCCAGCTCCCTGCCTGCCTGAAACGTCAGGCTATGCACCCCGCCCCCCAACCCCCCTGCCCACCACCACCACCACCACCAGACTCTCCCCACTGCTCCCTGCTGTGGGTGGCAGAGCCCGTCTGCGTGACCAGCCAGCCTCCAGTGACATTCTCGGTCTTGGCAAACATGTGATACACGGTTGCTGGCTATTCTTTCCCAAGAGTATTGTCCTTTTATCGTCCTTTACTTTGAAATTTCCTCTTCCTATGTTTTCTTCCTGAAATGTATTACAATACCTTTTCATTTACAAAAGCACTAGAATAGGATTCATTTTGTGTGTGGGTGTGGATCTGTGTCTCCACATGACAAAACAAAGTTCGTAACCTACTTCATTCCTTCCCACCTTAGCCCTACTTCAAAATCTAAAATAAAATAAATGGTCTGTGGCATCCAGATGTCTGGTGACCACTTAACTGGGGGCCCCGTGCAAACTCATCCCTGCATGGGGCTCTGTGCCATCCTGCCTGCACCCACCCTGACCTTTCGGAGCTCTCTCACTGCTCTCCGCCCTCTGCCCCTGGCTTTCCACCCAAGTTCTCACCTGAGGATTCCTCTGCCCCAGTTTGCTTCAGCCCACAGCAGTCTCCAGCTCCTGCCCCTGCCTCCTGGCAATCCACTCCCCATTCTGAAGCCATGGCCACTCCCCGACTGGCCAATTTACCCTGTCCTGCATTTCCACCTGTGTTCCAAACCCTGTCCTTTTGGGGATGGGAGCTGCAGCGACTGCCCTGCCCTCTCTGTGAGCACTGGGCCTGCCCCGGCCGGGCAGGAACAGCAGCAGTCAGCGTTGGACACCTCTCTGTGGCTCCACCTGACACTGTGTGGGTTGTGGCTGTCTTGACAAGGCTACAGCCAGGAGAGAAAATCAGCTCGAGGCCTGAAAAGCAGCATTAACAACCTTTCGTTGGTAAGCAAGCATAAACACTCTCCTTTGTTATCCACTTGCACAATCCCAGAACAAAGAGGCCACTTAGAGGCCTTCCAGAGAAGTCAGAACGCGGCTAATGAAGAGGATAGTTTACCCGCTCTGCCAGTCGTGGGGGTCTGAGAACACGCTTTAGATGATTCTAGGGCAGTAGACATAGTTCTCTAACATAACTGGAGTTACGCAAGCTCTAATAATGATACATTTCCTGAAAAACTCAGATTTCAGGGTATAAATAGATTGCTTTCAGGGGATTAGGAAACAGCTTCCCACCCAAGAGTCTCAAGGGAGGCGTATCTTGGGAGCTTCAGTGTTCTCAAGTGCCACTGTCATTGTCCTGAGGAAAGGGTTCAAAAAAAGATAGCTAGAAATAAGCAATCCATCAGGCCAGCAGTGCCCTGAGCCCTGGGTTGCATGCTGTAGAAAGGGAGATTTACTTTCAGTTGGGGAGATAAGAGGGAACGAGGTAAAACTGAATATTCTTAAATTCTTATGCAAGATTGATGATGAAGGTACTATTCTGTCAAAGGATTTCAGTCTGCAATGGAACCACAGGATAGCAAATGAAAAATCTCATGCATGTGCCCTCATAAAAACTAAACATAAAGACTGAGAGACTGATTTTCCATAAAATGCCTGATTTACAGAAAACTGATAATATTGGAATTTAAATGATAAGGAGTTGGTCAGGGGTCACCTCACATCAATCTTGGGAAGTTTAACTTACAGTTTCCAGAGGCATGGACAAGAAATGACCCAGGTTGGGCTGGTCTCATAAAATAAGCTGGATTGAGCTTTGTTTGTGTGGCTGGACTGGTTTTGTCTGCTTGGAGATTTCAAAACTGGCTTCTGTTTGTTTTTTATTTTAACAGACTAACTGAACTCTCCCTTCTTTACATTCCCTGCCCATAAATACAACCTACCCCAAACCCTCAATGGCCTTGAGTTCGTGTATCTTGAATTGCAGTTCCTCCACTACTCACAAGTGAACTCATCTTTTTGACAAATTTGAGCTGCCTCAGTTTACCTCTCTATTTAGGCAGATAGTCTGATATAATTCAATGTCCTTTACATGAGGGCTCAGCAAGACATTCTGCTTCAAACATAGAAAGAAGAAAATTGTTTTATAAAAAATCTAAGACCTTCCCCAGAGGAGGACCATCTGGCCCAGCCAGCTTCCCGCCCATCAGCAGTCCTCCGGCAGGCCACTTCCACAGGGCCCGTGTCCATGTGCCAGGCCTCCCCAGGCCTGGCTGCCGCAGCCTGCTCACCTGGCCTTGCCACCCCGCCGCCACAGGTCTGGTGGTTACCTCGTTCCCATCTGGCTTCTCCTTTGCCTTGGCCTGTCTTTGCCCCACTTTGTCCTGTTGTGCGGCTGGGGGGCACCTGGCTTCCTCTCCCTCCCTATCCCCCCAGCTCCAGTCTCAGCCTGGGTGTCCTTTGCCCAGAGGAGAACCATAGTGGATGGATTTTTACTTCTGCCTCATCCACCAAAGATTATGGAGAAAAATGTAATGTTTGGACCCCCTAAGTGGCCGAGAGGTGAGCGGGGTGTGTAGTCACTAACCTGCCTCAGGTGTGTCAATAAAAATTATTCAGAACACACCAGACACTGCTGTCTGTTTTGTCCACCTGACATCAAGATCTAGTTTCTCCACATAGCCTGTCTCCATACCTAAATAAACAGGTTTAAGTCCTATGGCCAGAAACGTCCCCCAGGTGAGCAAGTGTCCCCTTGTAGGCCCACATCCTGGAAGACATAACAGGGGGTGGGGGAATGCCACCTTGCTAGGAAGGGCTCTGGGAGATAGGGCCAGGAAAAGAAGGAAGGGCCTGGATCCCAAGAAGCCCACCTGGCCCTCTGGAAAGATGTGATTCCTGGCAGAGTCGAAAATTCACTGGTCCCTCTGTCTCCCATGCTGGAGAGCTGCTACGAGATCATTTCCTTTGACTGAGCCTCAGTTGCTTTATTCACAAGACTGGGCTGATGCTTTCTGCCCTTCCTTGCTTGAGTGGGGTGGGGGTTTCTGAAAGATAAAACAAGACAATGGAGATGATAGCACTACAAAGTTAAAAGCTTTCTATGAGCCTAAAATACCACTGATTATAATTTGCAATGGAAATTTTGCTCAACTGCCAGACTAGCTTGGTTCTGGTTTGAGCTGAGTATCATAGTTCTTACAGAACAGACCCCCAGCGACTGAACTCCTGGTTTGTGCCAGGCGCATAGAGGACCTCATTTAATCAACGCCACAGCTCTGTGACCTGGCTGTCATTATTATTATCATCCCATTTAACCAACGAGGAGACTAGGATACAGAGAGCTTATGAAATTTGCTCAGGGTCCCAGAGCTCCCATGTGACTATGGGTCAGTCATTCGAGAGCCCATGTCGTTCCACCAGGGTCTAGGGTGCGAGTAGAAGCAGCAGCCTTTGGCCTGTGAGTAGATGGGCATTTTTAGCCCGCTAACCACGTCAGTGCTCAGGCAAGCCAGAGACCCCTTGCTATGGGTGCTGTGGGTGCGTGATTCTCCAAATACAATGCCACAGGCAATGAAGGATGCCTGGATTGAGAAAAGCAAAACTCACTTCACCCATATCTCCCCTAAACCCCTGGTGCTGAGTATGAACAGTGACCCCCATTTAGAAACATAGGTATCAAGCTTGCTTGGCTGGCATAATCTTGTCAAATCACTTGGTAGCTATTCTGTTTGTGTCACCTTAGATGTTTATTTTTGTTTACAAGCTGGATGCAGTTGTTGGGACAAATTATGTGACAACTCTCACAAATAAATGACATTTTCCCAGTAATTAAAGGGAATCCGCTGTCATCACCACATTGCAAGGCTTCTCCCTCTGAGCTCCCTTCTTCCTGCCTGAGACAGTTCAGCTACAGAAAGATTCCTCCTTGGCTTCAAATAAAAAAATCAAGTTGATATTTTACCAAATTTGAAGAGCAACCAGAAAAGAAGGTCAAGTTTTAAAAGAAGCAACATAGGAGAGGATTGTAATTAAATCTGTTCTGGGCTGGGTACAAATGATTCATTTCTAGTTCATAACATTCTGCAAAGCACGTGACCACAGGTATTTTTCTAAATAACCTCAAGTGCTGGTTGAGTTATTCTTTAAATTGCATTCCAGTGACATCTCCTAACTGGTATTTCACTTGGCAGGCACTGCGCCAGCACCACAGCCCAGATTTTCCTGCAGGCAGAGCCCGGCTTTGTTCTGACAGTCCTTTCCGCTTCTTTCCACTTCCACCTGGAAGGCTCACACAGCTACACAGGTTCCGAGAGGGATGTGCTTGGTGCTCTCCAAACTGTCCAGCGAAGGCACCTCTGCTCAGGTAGGGGGTCTTCTGGGTGCCCAAGGAACTCTTTTCTCCAAATGATAGCACCAGTGGAATGCCACCTCTTCCAGAAAGCTTCCATCACAGCTTTCAAGAGAACCCAGGCAGCTGTCTTAAAACCTCCTTCTAACAGCGACAAGCCCTTACCCATCCCGTCATTCTCACTCCAGATGATTCCTAAGGAAGCAGTCAGGTCAGCAGAGTGGTGACTCTGCTTTTGGTGTTTCCTGTAGATCCTGGAATGACAACTTGACCCAATAACAGTATTCTTTGTCAATAGGCATTTATTGTCTCACACTTTGGAGGCTAGAAGTCTGAGGTGAAGGTGTTGGCAGGGTTGGCTCTTTCCAGGGGCCGTAAGGGAGAGATCTCTTCCAGGCCTTTCTCCTAGGCTTGTAAATGGTGGTCCTCTTCCTATGCTTCTTCATATCATCCTCCTTCCATGTGTGTCTGTCTCTGTGTTAAAATTTCCCCTTTTGAGTCATACTGGATTAGGATCCACACTGATGACCTCAATGTGACTTGATTATCTCTGTGAAGACCCTGTCTCCATCTAAGGTCACATTCTAAGGTACCAGGGATTAGGACTCCAACATACCTTTACAAGGACACAGTTTAACCCATAACCCCATGTGGTGGAATACTATGTAGCCAGGACAAAGGGGCTATGTCTGCCTATATTAAGGGTAAAAATCTTCACACATATTATGTGAAAAAGCCTGTCTCTATGCCAGGTCCTCCTGTACACTGTGTGTGTGTGTATGTGTGTATGATTGACACTGACAGTTATACCTATAGGTGTGTTTTTTTTAAATTTCTGAGAGGAATCAAGAAAAGTTCATAAAAGTTACCCTTCTGAAGAGATATTTGCAGAAGAAAGGAAAAAGACTTTCACTTTTCATTTGTACTTTAAAGACTTCTATTTCTGTATTGTCTGAATCTATGTTAGATAGATAGATGATACAGATATATGTGTGTTTGTGTATATATGTATGTGTATATACACACTATACCACTATATATACACACATTCCTTATACTTTTCTACAATATATTAACAATGTAAGCTATGTATTGTCTTAAAAGTGTCAGTTTATACATAAGTTCTCAGGATAGGATTTATGTGCCAAGCACAGCCTGCATTCTGTGTATCTGTCTGTACTTGTAAGCTCTTAAAAGGTTGTGTTTGTTCTCACCCAATAAATGGTGCCAAGCATGATGGGTCAGGAAATCCTGTCCTTTCTGGTGTTCTAGAAACAGTGATGGGGAGGTGTGATGGGGATGATGGTGGTGAAGGAAACGATGTTAGTTGTGGTTGGAGGTTGGCTAGAACTGTGTCCTTGAATGATAAAACAAAGGTGTTTTCTTATCTACCAGAGACTCTCAGGCAAGGTCTCAGCCATACCATAGGCTCTTATTCCGTTCTTATACCTGTGCTGTTCTGTAGGTATAAGAAAACGTCCTTGGGAGGAATGAGAAGGTTGGGATTCAGTGCCTCATTTCTACTTTTTAAAGGTTTCTCTTAAGACCAGTTTTTCTTAATCCCTGTTCCAGAAGTAAAGTGAGCCCTAAAGTTCCAAGACATCCATCAAACATTATCAACTCGCTTCTCCCCTGTGCACCTAGAATGATCCTAGGCAGGCACTGCTCTCAGGAACACTGAGCAAACGGGCACTCCCATTATGCTCCGTAGAGCTTACTTCTCTTGCAGAACGTGGTTAAAATGATGCCCTAGACTCTGCTACCTCCCCACAGTGACCCTACCCCATTAAATCAAACATCTGCTTCTAAGAAGGAGCCAGGACTCACTCTGGCCCATGTAACAGATAATAGCCAGGCCAGACCCTCTGGAGGGTTCCAGCCCCATCTGGAAGGCAGGCTCTACCTGGCACACCCACTCGGGGACCTAGAGTCTAGCCTGTGCTGTGTCTGGAACAGTAATGAATTGATAATGTTCAGTGGATGTCTCAGAACGTTAGGGCTTACTTTACTGCTAGAAATGGGATTAAGAAAAACTGGGCTCAAGAGAGGCCTTTAAAAAGTAGAAATGAAGCACTGAATCCCAACCTTCTCATGCTTCCCAAGGACAGTTTTCTTTTGAACTTCAATGTACATCAAATTTAAAATTCAGCTCCTAAGTGGCACTAGCCACATTTCAGGTGTTCAGCAGCCACCATATTGAACAGCAAAGATGAGAGCACATTTTCGTGGTCACAGGAAGTCTTACTAGTGAGCCCTGATGATTGTGAGATGCACCCAGAATTATACCTAGAGGGGTCCTCTCTCTACTAGCTGATACCGGACTCCATAAATCAACACAGGGAGCACTTGAAATGTCAAAGCCCACACCATGGAATGAGAACTAAAGACAGCTTAATCGATTGTATTAATAACAAATAATTAGAATATAATAAAACATAGTTAACTTGAGCATAGATGTGAATGCTCAAAACCGTAAATAGTAAGCATTAGTTCCCCATCTCCAGTGGGTCGTGGGCGACCAGCTGTACAGTCCTGGCCTGCTCTCTCCTCCCCCCGCCTTCAGTCCCCAGCCAGGGGATCCTCTTACTCCTCTCCACCGTCACTGGAGCGGCTGGTTTTCACGCACACTGTAGAGAATTATCAGTCCCCTCTTTTCTCAGCTTCTCAGAGGTATTTGTCTCTCTCCTTAGCTTGTTAAAGAAATCTGGTAAACATGTTACAGAAGTGTGCACACTCCAGCTCTTTGAAAAAAGTGATCTATCTTTTCCCAATGTTTTTATTATGGCAAAACACATATAACATGAAATTTACCATTTTAACAATGTTCAATCATACAGTTCAGCAGTATTAAGCACATTCACATTGTTGTATTATCAGCACCATTGTCCATCTGCGGAATGCTTTTCATCTTGCAAAACTCAACTCTGTACCCATTAAATAATTCCCCATTTCCCACCCTGAGCCCCTGGCAACCCCTATTCTACTTTCTGTCTCAATGAACCTGGCTATTGCAGGTCCCCCATGTAACTGGAATCATACAGTGTTTGTCCTTTGTGCCTGGCTTATTTCACTTAGTGTTCATACTACAGCATATGTCAGAATGTCCTTCCTTTTTTAAGGCTGAGTATTTCATTGTATGTATATAAAAAATAATTTCTAAAAAGTAGTAATTTATTTGTGAATTAATGAATAGACCACAGGAACATAGCAGCAGACCAGAGGCCTCTCTCTACTAGCTGATAGCCCCTTTTGCAAAGACCCAGCTCCTTCAGGGGTACATCCAGGGAATTAGACACAGGCAAGAACTGCTCTGGCCCTGGACACAAGCTGACCAAAGCCTGCAGCGAGCTTGGGACCATCTGGAGGAGGCCGTGGCTACATTTCAGGTAAGCCAGGGGCTTTCTCTAGATCTGCCATCCAGGACCCCCATGGGTCCAACCTCAGATGGCTTTCAGTTACTCAAAGTTTATGGATTCCTGCCTTCCTAGAACTTAGGAGCATTTTTTTCCTCCACCGTGACCTGGAATGCTGGCTGTCACCCCCTCGGGCCAGGATGGTGATTCTGCCAGGGCACTTCCTCACCCGTGCTGCCAACTGCTTCCCTGAGCAGTGGGAGATGCCCTGTGGTCCCGGCATTTTAATAGGAAGGGACAGATCCACTCCTGACTGAGAGCTGTCCCCACCTACTCCCCCAGTCAAAAAGTAGTCAAGGAAATTGAGGGCCCTATGAATTCTTGCTTGACCTGCCCCAAATCCATAATCCACAGCCACCCTGCCTTCCCTCTGCAATGAGCCCACCTTCTACCTGGCCACAAGCCAGAGTCACAGGGGTGTCCTTTACCCTCATTCACCTCCCTCCTACAGCTAGTCACCAAACCTGTTAATTCTCCTTCTCCACATCTCATGCTCTACCCTCGTCTCCACCTCCTTTATCACCATTGTCTCTAACTCAAATTGTGGCCACAGTCCCCAACTCACCCCATGGTTGACCCGTTCATTCAACAATAACCGAGTGCCCATTATGAAGCTGGTCCAGGCCGTGTCTGGAGGCCTATGAGCAACAAGCCTTCTTTCTCTAGAACTGACTCAGACACCAGCCAGTTCCATGGTGAGACAAGTGCTCTAGCAGCATGAGGGAGGCACACCTCACCTGGCCTGCAAAGTGGAGGAGGGCTTCCCAGAGGAGGTGACAGCCGAGCTGAGACCAGCTGTATCACTAGGAGTTCTCCTGGCAGAGCAAGGTTTAGTGGGCAGGGTGGGAGCAGGGTGAGAGGAAGCTGAGGAAAAAAAGTCAAGGTGAAGGCCCAGAGGCGATCTGGGGCCTGATGGGAGGGGGCGTGTAGATGGTTCACCAGGGCTGGAGCCTGAGCACTGGCACAGAGGCGGCCCACAGGAGGGCGGGACAGGAGGGGCATATCCTGCCACCACACATGAAGATTTTTATTTTGGAAAGATCCCTGTATTCCTTTCCTAGGCCTGCTGTAGCAAAGTATCACAAATGGGGTGACTTTAGACAACAAAAATGTATTCTCTCATAGTCCAAATTAGTCTGAAGTTTCTCACAGTCTCAGAAGTCCAAAGCCAAGTGTCAGTAGATCACCCAGATCCCGAGGGCTCTCGTGAAGCCTCGGCAGCACTCCGTGCTCCATGCACTCCCTGGTGGGGGACTGCAAACCCCTACCTGGGCCCTCATGCCCACACAGCCTCCTCCTGGTCTTCTCCCCTCTCTTACCTTATTAGGATACTTGTCACTGGATTTAGGGCCCACCCTCATCCAGGATGACCTCATGTCAATGGTCTCATTGTATCATCAGCGAAGCGTCTTTTGCCAAATGACGCCATGATGACAGATTCCAGGGCACGGCCACATCTTCAGTGGGTGTCACCACTTAACCAACAAACAGCAACACGGGGAAGTCAGCTGCAGGTGGAACCCAGTCCCTCCCCATCTCATGTCCATCCAGCAGCCATGACTGCCAGGATAGAGCTTAAGTGTTTTTTCTTGCCTTTCAGGGTCCTTCAGGATCTAGCCCCAGATGTACTCTCTGCTGTAACCTGTCAAGCCCCTTGCAGAGCACTGAATGCCCTCTGCTGTCACAGGCTCTGGGTCTTCTCCTGCACTCCCCCTCCTGCACCCTGAAAATGGTGTCTCCTTGGGAAACCCCTGGACTTCTCCTCACGCCCTCCCAGTCTGGGTGAGGATACCTCCAGAGCTCCTAGGGTGCCTGTGACTCCCACTGCCAATCATCTTTTTACTCGTCTGTGTCTGCCGTGTCTTACTTACGCTGCTCAGAGAATGAGACATACAATGCCTGTTTGTTGAGCTAATTTATTAAAGTCTGAACCATCCCAGTAACTAAGTAGGTTGGTGTGCTTGTGTCCTTTATGCCTGTGCTTGGGGCTTACCTCTATAAACACCATTTCCATGGGAGGGCTTTGCTGGACAGCCCTCCCACCTGTGCAGCTGCCTCCTTCCTCCTGGCCTCCCCACCCCTGCCCTTCATTTAAGTCCCAGAATAAGTCCATTGGCTCCACCAGCCCTCTGTGATTTCCCATTGGTAAGATGAGAGGAGGAGCTGGTAAGGCCAGATAACCATGAGAGGGGGAAAAAATGAACCTAAAGAGCAAAAAGCAATTTCAATTATCCATTCCAAAACTTTGTATGGTGGGTCTACCCCACGCTGAGTCGTGAGGACATGAAGGAGACAGAAACATACAGAGGCTGCTTTTGTGCAGCTTATAATCCTGCATGGGAAGCAGACACTGGTCAAATACGAACAAAGGTGAAATTGCGACTGTGACAAATAGGACATAGTAGTTCAAGAGGCTGAGAAGGCTTCCCTCTGGAAGTGATGCCTGAGCTCTGAAGGCCACGTGGGGATGATGGGGCGAAACACACAGGAAGTCTGTTCTGGGTGGAAGGAACAGCACGTGCAAATGCTCTGAGCCCAGGGCAGCTCCATGGGTGGAAAGGACTCAGAGAAGGCAGTGTGGCTGGCGTCCAAGTGGGGAACCTGCTGGAAGGTCACGGAGGTGGGCAGGCAGCCAGGAGGCCACCACCATTGTTAAGTGATTGGGCCCAAATCTTGAGAGCTTTTATTTAGAGTCTGACAGGTAGGGGGCAGGGAAGCATTTTCAGCAAAGGAATGCTTGATTGGGTATAAGTTTGCCAAAGCTTACCTGGCTGCTGTTGGGGGAGGAATCAGAGGGACCGAGGCTAGACCTGAGTAAGTGACACTGGCACCTCCCATGGATGCCGGGTTGAACCGTTATGGTGGCAACAAGCACAGAGTGAGAACTAGGAGCTGAAGAATAATTTAGGGGTTAAAATCACCAGAAACAAGTGATGGACTCGGCACAGAGGGAGGAGTTCTCCCTTCTCGTGGCCACAGGTTCCAAACCCGACCTCCAGCCACGCTGCCACCATCATGCCTGGAGAGGAGCCTGCTGTCTGTATTTCACTGCTTCATACTGATGACCAGGGACTTCTGTTCTACTAAAAACCAGCAGATTGCCCTGTCCTACTAAGGGAGATAATAATACGAAAAGGCATTGAAGGATCGTAGGTCATGTGATCATTTCATTAGAGAGGACCAGATGAAGACTGTCTTTCGTGTGTTCTATGGGTCAGGATGCTTAAATGCAGGGCTTGGTTACCTCAGTGAGGAGGTCAGAGATGGGGGTAGTTTGGTTCCACAACTCACCCAAGTGGTCAAAGACAAGGCTCCCTCTGCCTCCTGGCCCTGCCACTCTTCCCACACTGACTTGGACTGTTGGCTTGTCACCTCATGGCCCTGAGAGAGCTGTGGTTCCAGACAACACATGTCATCCCACCAACATCCAGCCAGGAGGGCTCCTGCGCCCCTTCAGTTACCCCGTCGTTCAACAGATGCTTGCAGCACACCTGCTACAGAACCTTCTTCGTGGCCCTGCCTAGTCTGGCTCTCAGGAATTCTAACACCTCTGGCCCTTCTTCCCTCAAATTGCCATATAAATACACAGGGCTCTGGTTATTTTCAGGGGAAGTGAGGGCAGGGAGTGGAGCTGGTCATACCTGTCCCTCAGCATGTCATCTGAATTCCTCAGAGCAAGCAGCACTTTGCAAACCCTTCCTGATTGTATTAGTTTCCTGTAATCACTGGTCCAGTCTGCCCTTCTCCTCCCCTCCCAACCACATGTGACATCTCTTTCAGATGTGTGCTCTTTGCTTGCATGAGCACTGGAAAGCAAGGCAGGTGTGTGTGTTTCATATGCATACCTTTGATTTTGGCTTTGTCTCACTCCAGTTCCTACATTTTCCACTCGGCACTCTAGGGTCCAAGATATGAACTGATGTTGACTCAACACAGACCAGGAATACAAAGCTAATGAAGCATGGAACTTCCCTGAGGAAGCCAGGGCAGTTCTGAGACCAAAGCAGAGCTGCACTTCTCTCCACCGTCCTCCCCGCTTGGGGCTTGGGCTCCGGGCACGCAACACAAATGCTGTCAGGGAATGTGCAGGGGTGGCCAGACCAGTGACAGTTTAGGCCAAGCTATTGTGTAGCTTAAACCAGCTCTCCTTGCCCATTGTGGGACTCCTGGCTTCTTCACCCTGGTGGCCTTCATCCTGGAGAGAATTGTCCGGGCCTCCGCATGCCTGTCCTGGCCTGTTCTTGGCCCATCCTGGGCTTGTCCAATCCTGGGCTCAGGAACCACCTGCTCGCCCTGCTCTGAGTCTGTCCCAGGCTTTAAACTGAGTGTCTGATTTACACAGGTGGTTAAGCTCCCAGCTTATGCCAAAGCTCCACTGACCAGCTCCCTCTACAGTCACTGAATTACTGCTTACCAACAGTGGTGTCCCACCCTGAGAGACTGTACTTCCCTGCTCTACTGAATTCAGGCCATACCAGGTGAACAGTGACGAGTGAAGTGAGCAAAAGTGACATGTGCTCCTTCAGGACAGAAGCAGTAAAAGCAACTGTGCTCTTCCCCATATACTCTCCTCCCTCTAGTAGCCACAGTGACTACTAGACAGAGGCTTGGATCTTAGGATGAAGATGACATGGATTGAGTTACAGCCAACACATGATGCACATGCCACTTGCATGCAAAATAGACCTTTGATATTATATGTCACTGAGGTTTGGGATTGTTTGTTACTGCAGCATATCCTAGCCTGGCCTAACCAACACAGCCACCGAACCTGAGTTCTTACCTCCACAGCTGTGCAAGCACCATTGCTGCTGCTATGCTGCTACCTGACTTTCACTGAGCACCTACAAGACCCTGACACTGGACTAGGCACTTGTGTACATGTGCATGGTCAATGCCAGTTCATATCTTCTTGCTATTTTGCAGATGAGGAAACTAAATATCTGTTAAACAAATTGCCCAAGGTCACAAACATAGTAGAAGTGGTTTGGGAACACAGGTATCTGACTCTAGAGCCTGGGTTCTTAAACCTGTGAAATTATGCTACTCAACTTCCTTCTAAGACTGAGAACATTCCTTTCTCTCACCAGTGTCCAGCATGACACCTGCCACCAGCATCCCAAAGCATCTGATTCACGCCTCCCAGCCACAGCCAGGTTGAGGGGTGGGGAGCAGGTACCAATGACTGCTCTAACTCTACTCTTGCAGGAATGCAGAACCTGAGAATCTCTGGCTCTGCCATGGCTGTCCTCCCTGACCTTTCTGTAGCTGAGTCTGTCCCAAATACTTGCCTTCCCTGGGGATTGTATCTGATCTCCAGGACTTGGACAACCTCAGCTGGGTTGACCTGCCACTGACCAAGTTCTAACCCCAAATGTAGTCAATGTCCACATTCTATTCTATGCTAAGCCCACTTCTTTTCTCTCCATGTCCAGTCTCTGTCAAAAATCTCACCAGATCTTGTTATCTCAACTATTATTTCCATGGAAATGCTTCTTAAGCTGTTATTCCACCCCGCCTCACTCCTGTGCCCTAGTTTTGCTTTTCCACCTCCTGGAGTCATCCTTCTGCAGGTTTAAGATCAGTATCTCCAAAATGAAGCTCGTATCTTCTACCCCATTCTTCCTCCAGTCAGCTTCTCCTGTCTTCATTCTAGTGACAGCACCCGCATTCTCTCTGTTATTGTTCATTCATGCACCAACATCAGCTGAGCACCCACCCTCTGGGAGCCCAAAGAAAGCTCCATGTTGCCCTGCCTCCTGTTCCTCAGAGCCAATTCCTGCTGCATCTAGTTGTTGTTTCCAGAATACACCTCCTTGTCTTCAATCATTCTGTTCCTTTAAAAGGAATGCTATCCGTATGTGCAAACAAAATAATGTAGGCATTCCCTTTCAAAAAGGAAAATCTGAAGTCAGAAATGTGAGTCTCCATGGAAGAGAGAAATTAGTTTTAAGTTAAAGGGAAATTATGAAAGAAGTCACTTAAACTGAAAGGCACTTTATTTATTTAGATGCTGTGCTCTAAGGTTTCTTTATCCTACCTTTAAGGAAGCTGAATATATAACCTCATGAATTAAAGAGCTCTGTTTAAGCCAAGTAAGCTGTTTGAAACACAGGACTTTAAATCAGGTTAAATGCTCTATTCGCCATTCATGAGTGACAGATTCTCTTCGGTTGTATTTTTTTTCACCACTCAACGGCAAGTGTTAAGGACTGTCTTCCTAGCGAACTGTTTTTATGAAGGTATGTTTACCTGCCTGAATTAATAATCATATTGTTATAGATGTCAAGATGCATGAGACATACTTTAGATAACTGTGAAAAGTCATCAAACCTCATTTCTTAATTTTTGGTTAATCATCTCTCTCCCCTATTTGAACTTAAAATGAACTTACTGCATAGTTCTTTTCCTTGCCTAGAGCTAATACCTCTTATCCTTTTATCCACTAAAATATCCAACTTGATTTCCAATGTCAGAAACCATCTCTTTGCTTTCTTCGCTGTGCTTGAACACTAATAAAAGTTCTTTGCTTTTATGGGTTGAACTGTGTCCCCTAAAAAACTGTGTTAAGTCCTAATTCCCAGGACCTGAGAATATGACTGTATTTGGAAAGAGGGTCTTTGCAGCTGTAATCAAGTTGAAATAAAGCCATACTGGATTAGAATGGGCTTAATGCAGTGACTGGCACCTTTATAAGAGAGAGGAGAATGCAGTTCGGGCACAGAAAAACACAGGGATAATACCATGCGACAACAGCAGCAGAGATGGAGTGATGCTCCTGCAAACAGAAACACTCCAGGGGATCCTGGTGACCCCCAGAAGCTAGGAAGACAGAAGGCAGGATCCTCTGCAGGGCCATCAGAGGGAGCATGGCCCTGCTGACACCTTGAATTTGGACTTCCAACCTCCAGCACCATGAGGGA